CCAGCAGAGATGTCCCCTTCTCTTAAGCAGACTTCACAGGTGAAATTTGGTAAAAGGGGAGGAATAAGAAACGGCTAAAATGACTAGTGTAAGCAACTACCAAGCAATGGTACTTTTCAGCCAGCAAGCTGGAAAATGTATAGCATCTGTGGCTTATGGATCCCACACAAATTTCTTTCTCTCTCTCAGTCCTAGGGTCTGGTCTGAGATGTGTTTGATTACATCAGCTTCAAACTTGGTCCCACATGTCTCAGGACAGAACCCTTTAAGTTGCACATAATCTCAGGTCAACAGGACAACCTATTGTTCAGTTGTCCTTGCTTCAGGGTAAAGATAATGGGTTTACTTAACTACCTGCATCACTGTGAAGTTAAATAACCTTTGAGAGGTTCATTGGTTTCCATTGCACAACCAACTTGGTTGGGTCAGCTTTGGGTTGTAAATAAACTAATAACCTTTGGGGAAGGGTAGAGGACACAGTTCACGTAAATTTTCATGCTACTATCTTACTGTGTGGGGTTTTTTGTTTCTTTAATTTCAATGTGAATATGACATTACAGGAGTTGGTAATAAGATTCACTAATTTCCTCTAGTCTGTTCGATTGTTATTTAATGTCTTCCTTGCTGTTTGTTTTTCTGCCTTTGGTAAACTGATTAAAAGCATGTCACCAGTGGATCTCCATAGAAAAAATTAGTCTCATTAGTCTTACCAACTCAACTGATGTACTCCAGCACCTTTTTGATGAATGGCAGCAACCTTCTTGTGCTGATATATAGCATAATCACAGTAAAGATGAGTTGGGTGAGTGGTAAAGGCTGTGTCTAGGAAGAGCCTTCCTGTCATGAAATTCTTCCTATAATCTTTTGGCAGGTATTTTTGAGAGAGAGAGAGAGAGGATTAGGCGAAGGTATAATAACTGCACTGATGACAAAGAAAAGGACTCAGAGATGGAGGGGAGAGAAACATCAAGGCAGAAAGCAGCATGAACACAGTGTGGAACTAGAGTGAAGTGTTGCTGCAGTGCAGCACATAGTTTTACCAGGACTAGAGGACTTGCAGATACACAGAGCAGCTGAGGAAGGGTTCAGCCTGGGAGAAGGGCTTTTGAGCACAAAAGCACATGATGTTTTCACATGTCTGGTATTGTGCTCTTGCCTTATGTGAGAGGGACCAGGAAAGAGGTAGAAATCCCAGAGTGGAGGAGAGCTTGAAATCATTGAAGTGACAGTCATCTGAGCATAGGTAGGGCAGGTATTTATTCAACAGCAGCCATCAGAGGTGTGTGTCTCCCCTTTCACATAGATGTTCCTGTCACTTCTACTCCGGTCACCGCGTCCTACCACGGCTGCATGACCGTGAAGCTGAGCAACAAGGCACTGGACTTAGACGAGGCTCTCTACAAGCACAGTGACATCACCTCACATTCCTGTCCTCCAGTCGAGGCGGGTCAGTAGGTACCACTACAATGTAAAAGTTTTATATTCAGAAACTTCCAATGCTTTTTTAAAAGATATAAATTATTCAGATCTACCGCACTGCGTGTATAGTTTCTCTTAAACACTGAAGTTATGTAGGAGCTACTGATCCTTATGTCAGATTGATTATTGAAATACTCCTTTGCTTTAAGGTTTAAAGGTTGTAATATATTTGTAAATAGTTCAGAAGACTAATGTTAAATAAGTCAAAAGTACAGAATATACCAAAAGTGAATGTTATCTTTAGTCTGTAAGAGACAGTTTTATCTGTAATGTGGAAAACCTGGTAATATATGAGTGTGGACTGGAAGAAAAATAATAATTCTGTATTATTTTTTATTAACAAACACTGCTTTCTGATTTGCAAAATATGAGAGAATAAAATATTTACATACAAGTTTTTAATATACATGTACTGAGATTATTCTGTATTCTGTTATTTGGACATAGTGACTCAGGCTATGCCTGATGTGGAGATTACACTGGCGGGGGGGGGGTTATGTTAAGTTGGTTTGGGTTTTTGTTTGGAGGTGTGGGTCTTCATGTGCTTATGTCAGTATTATGTATCTTCTGGGCTGGAGAGCAAATGGTTGCTGCTGTTCTTATTGCTAGTTTCTCTTTCTGGTACTACAGATAGAAGACTCAGTTGTGACCTTTAGAAAAAGTCTTGGTCAACAGAAAATGGAAAACAGAGTTGGGTCATCAGGAAACAATTAGTAGAAAAGACTCAATAAGTTGAAAGCCATATGGCTTTTGTGTCAATGACTGCTGAAGCAAATGATGAGGTGTAAAGAACTGGAGAATATTATCTGGTGATAACACATTTTTGCTGCTCAATTTTTAGGTTGGCTCATTCACTGTGAGCCTAGTGAGAGCAGAGAGGCTTGAGAGCGTGAGAGCCAAGCCAGATTGCAGTCTGGTGAGAATATGTGGGGGTTTACTCAGTAGAGGTTGTAGAGTCATAAAGTGCATTCACATTTTAAGCTATCCTTGTGAAGCTGGGGTAAGATTTGCCTAGCCTGCTGCGAGTCCCTTAAATCTTGCTTTATTTGGTCCATGTCTTGCATCAGATTAATGAACTGAGAAAGATGGGTATATACTGTGGTGGGAATCCGAATACTGGGTGGATAAGGTTGTCCCATGCTTCAGGGGGTTAACATGGAAAAGGCCTATTCTTCAAAGTCCTTTATAAATTTTTCCTGGTTGTTCTACATCATGTTCTGTCTCATCAAATATAGAGATGACAGATTAGCCTAATAATTCAAATGTGTGACATCATCTGTGACCAGCCTATGGACATATGTGTCCCAGAGGAAAGGACGAAAGAGGGGGGATACTATTCCAAACATATTCCTGGTAAGAATTCCTGCATTATTTACCAGAGAAGAGGAAGGTACTCTATTAGCCATTAGCCAGCAAGACATCATAGCTCTGTATTGTGATCAAATCAGTCAGCAGTAATGCAGCAGGGCAGAAAAAATCAGAGCTTTATCACTTTAAACTCATTTACACTTACAGAGGGACCTGTCAAAAGCCTCTTTACACTCAGGTGTAACCAGATGCAAGTTTGAAAGGATAATTGCTCACTACACAGTAATAACTTACTGGCAGAATGTGCATGGATAGGAAAACCCAGAAGTAGTTCTATGTTTTTTGCTTTTTTTTATTGAGCAAGGGGAAACCACATTATTTCTGAGAGTGCTTGCTGTCAAGAGTTGATAGCTCTTGATCACTTGTGATATGATGGAGAACCCAAGAAGCATTAGTTTAGTATCTCCAGTGAGAGCTGGGAATCCTGAAGATACTGTGGTTAATAGCACTTCCACACTGCAGTGTTCTGTTTTCTGTGTTTTTCCATGGTTATTTTAGTCCTTCACAAAAATATATCCCTGTGCTGGTTTTGCTGGATAGTGTTAATTTTCTTCATAGTAGCTAGTACAGGGCTACATTTTGGAAACAGTGTTGGCAACACAGGGATGTTTCAGTTACTGCTGAGCAGTGCTTGCACACAGTCAAGAACTTTCCTGCAACTCACCCCACCCCACCAGCGAGCAGGCTGGGGGTGCACAAGATACTGGGAGGGGACACAGCCAGGACAGCTGACCCCAGATGACCAGAGGGATATTCCAGACCATGTGGCATCTTGCTCGGCATATACAGCTGGTGGAAGAAGGAGGGAATGTTCAGAGTGATGGCATTTGTCTTCCCAAGTAACCCTCACATGAGACAGAGCCTTGTCCTGGAGACTGCTGAATTTTTTTTCTGAACCCCTGCCTGCTGATGGGCAGTAGTGAATGCATTCCTTGTTTTGCTTTGCTCACACGCACGACTTTTGCTTTACCTGTTAAACTGTCTTTATCTCAACCCATGAGTTTTCTCACTTTCCCTCTTCTGATTCTCTCCCCATCCCACCAGATGGTAGTGAGCAAGTGGCTGTGTGGGCTTGAGCTGCTGGCTGGGGTGAAACCATGACAATCTTCCATCTTTTTAACTTGGAGTAGCTCTAAAGAAAACAGTACAAACTTAGAAGACACCTATTTTTTAGAGCAAGTAGATGAAACAAACCCTGTTTTACTTTGTTCTTTTCAAAGGAAGCATGCTAGCAAAACAGTCTTATGGCTGACAGTTTTGTCTAATTCCTGTGGTAGTTCCCAAAAAAACTACCATGTGGCATAAATGAATCACAAACATGTCTGACCTTTGTGTTAGTGGTACTACTTATGAGGCCAAAATTATTTTGGATCCTGGAAACATGAATTCTGTGGTAGAGTATGGTACTTTGCAGTTTTAGGTGTAATCCATGTGAACAAGGCTGTACTTCCATTTTCTAAATCAATCTAATTCAGAGCAAAAATTTCTCCAGGACTTTGCGTTTGTATGCATGTATATGAAGATCATTTGCATAGACCAAAATGCACCCCGACCCAAACTTTCCTCTCTTGTTTTCCTGTCCTTACAAATATACACAGTCTTAGGTACAATATAAATATACACAGTCGGTTTAATTGTAAAATAATTGCCACACTTCTTTTTTATTAGTACACCACTTTCACCAAAAAGTGTTATTAAATAAATACTACAAGCAAACAAAAATCTGGTCTCTTCCTACTCAAAATGATTGCCTCAGAGAGCTCCCAACTACCCACTCAGACAACACAGCCTAAAACCCCTCTGTACTGGTTTATGAAAGCAGAACACGTATCCAGAGAGTTTTCTTCATTTCTCCTCTTGAAGAAAATTTATTCTGCAGTGTACTGAGAAGGAAACATTTCGTGCCAGGAAGCAACACTGCATTTGACTGCAGGCAAACTGGGTGGTGACTGGTCATGCCACTGCTGATGTGCCTGCCCTTAGGTTTCCAGGTTTCTCTGCTCTGCTCACAGTGAGGTGTGGGTAAAAGCAAAGCAGCCATAACGTGGTCTGTGGTGGGTTCCTCGGGAGGTCGACTGCCTGCACAGCACAGTTTCCAGAAGTTTCTTTAAAATCTTAAAAGCCTACCAGCTACCTAAAATAAATTCTTTATTCTATGGTGCATATGGTGGAGGCTTTTCTCCAGGCAACAAGTAAGTTGGTGTATAGAGGGCTGGAGCATTGGGGGGAAGACCATAGCTGGAGCTGGACTGAGACGGAGGCTGAGTTTCTTCTGATAAAGAAATGTCAGTAGATGACGTTCCTGGAAAATTGCTGGCAGGCTGTGTATAGACAAAGAAAAATATCCTCTTCAGTAAAGGATTACAACCACATTTGCAGCTCTGTGTGAAGAATTTGCTGTGTGTTATATAATAAGCCCCATTTTTCACACACTGCAGCACAACACTCCGGTTTTAAAGTATAGCTTAAATATAGCAATGGCGGTGCCTAGTGAAACACAGATTCCATCTGTAACCCAAGTCATTTTTAATGACATTGCACATACAGCTAGGCACTAGAGCAGAACAGGAATTTCTGCAGGAAAAGATGCTCTGGCTTCCTGGGTGAGGCACTGCACCTGACTGGCTGATTAGGTTACATGTAGCTGCTTGTCTCCAGGCATCACTGTGAAATTTCAATTATCTCAGAGGTAATTAATCCCAGTTATAATACTTGCACAAAAGCAAGGTCTTATTCCTGTGCCAAATGCAGACTCCTTCTAAAAGAAAATTTTACAGGTGGGTCTCCCTGTAGGTCTTTCACTTCTGCTGTCTCAGCTACAATGGGGCTTTGGCTGAAAGAATCAGGAAAAAAGAGAGCTTAGGAAGCAGCCTATGTTCAGGAATAGGCAGTTTGTTAAAACAAAAGGATGCATGTAGGCACTGACGTTCTGGATAAAACCTAACACTGCTTTAAACCAAGTTTTGTCACTGATTTCAAGAGGGTCAGGATTTTGCTCTTCCCCTCATATGCCAGCACATGCCAGTCCATGGGCTTCATCAGAAGAACTATGCTCAGCTTTTCTCAGGTTCAGGCCTAAAATGCCCAGATTTTTAAAAAAACAAATCAAAGCAATAATACTCATGGATCTTTTTCAGGGAAATGAAAGTTTTTCCAGGCAAAAACTCCTGCTGCTAAAAAAAAACCCAACCAAAAATCCCAAAAATTAATAGCCACCATCTAGAAGCCAGTATAAGGGTTGGCACTTGGACAATGGCATCTCAAAGCTGTCCAGGGTTGGTAGACCCCATGCCATGGTGCCTGGCTTCTTCGTGGGGCTCCAGGTGAGCAGGAGAGGAGAATGTTGTCTTGCACTTATACCACAAGCTGACTTGCTGAGTGAGAATGGAGATGTCCTGACAGGAAGGTTGATTATGCCCTTTAACTCTCAAGGAGGCAGTGCAGATATACTGACAAGACTGTTAGCTAGATCAGCTCCAGTTGCTGCATTTTTGGGCAGTTAGTTTTTTTAAAAATTTATTTATTTGTTTTGGAGTTGTTGCTTCCCTGCTCCCTCAAACTCCAGCCACTGTTTCCATCTGTCTGCCTAGAATAGCTTCTGTAATGAGTTCTCTGGCAGACATGACTGGCACAACCCTTACTGCTGTCATCACCAACAGTCCCTGGCCAGCTAATCATTTACCTGACCAGTTGGCAAACCCATTACCAACACTAGTTGTGACTGAACTGCACTAGTAAGGGATGAATGATTTTGTTAGCACATGCCATGGTAAACAAAAGAAATGCTCGTTACATCCTTGTCAAATGCATTCCTGTTATCACCCGTTCTTTTTTGCATTTGGCTGATTTCTGCTTGTAGACAAGGAAGCATGAGGTGAATGGAGGAGCATTTACCACCAGCTCAGGCTATAATTTTTTGAAAGACTTTTCCTCTGCAGCAAACGTTTATTCAGTGAGTTAGATACTGGATTCAGCAGAGGACTAGGAATGAATCTGCTCAATCTGGGAGCCACAGGTGAACTCAGGTTTATAGCTAACGGAGCTTCAGCCCTTGCAACCAGAGCAGCACTCAGAGCAACACTGGTGTGTTGCATGCCAGACTAATCTGAGGCAGGATATATTCCCAGAAGGAGGAACTATGGCTGTGGATTTCCTCTGGTTGAGGGAAGGGTTCAAACTACATTTGTTAGTTGGTAATTAGTTGCTAACAGCTTTACTTCATTAACTCACATCAAATCTTTTTTCACCCCTAACTCTTAGCTGAAAAGGGTTTTGCTCCTTTTGTTGTACTGAACCACCACGTGTGATCCTGTTCCAACTGGGGGCAGGTGCAGGGCAATATGAAGTGCCAGGGGCTTAGGAACAGTGTTTAGCCAAAGCTTCGGCAAGTCACAGGAAACGCTGAGAAGGAACGTGTCCTGAGGCCCTTATGTGGGTCTTGGTCTACATGGAAGCAAAACGTTATGCTTTTTGAGGTGCTCAGTGGCACCCTCTGCTAGCTGCTCCAGAAATATATGCAAGATTCATGTAGACCTTGGCCTACATCAACAGCCCCATATGGACGTCTTGCGAATATTAGGTCATCTCAGATGCCATATCTTCAGGCAACTGGACTGCATCCCTAGGATAGAGTGTTCAGCCTCAGATTTTGACATCTCAGTTGAAGGCTCAAGAACACAGATATCTAAGTGCACTGCATAGTGACACACAGCAACTGAATCCCACCCCTAGTCAGTGGAAAGACCTCTAGGCTGCATTTGTAGCACTCACATCATTCATCTTTAGCCTGAGATAATCCATGTATGGCTCTCTCTGTGAACTCTAAAGGGTAGAACAGCTCCGGCAGGGTCTCCTACACTATGGACAGCTAAAGCTTAATTCAGTTGCCCACATGTAAGTGTTCAGCTGCCCTTTTGGGATGCCATGGGATATCCCAGACATCCACACAGATGTTATATGGGGACTCCTGGCCTTCTAGAGTGGCAGCAGAGGCCAGGCGAATACCTGATTTCATTATCAGGTATTACTTGATGCCTACATGCCAACAGCCCCTGCATTTAGCCAAATGAATTCAAGCCCCAGGGCCTGTAGTTGCCTTAAGGACTAGCAGCAGCTGAGCAGGGCTTGTGAAGACCTGAATCCAGCAGCTGGGCACTGCTTGGAGCACTCAGCTCTCAAGTAATGGAAGCATATGATGGTTTAAGGTTCTGGCTGTCCTTTATCAGGCCTGTTTCTAACATTCACCATTTGTAGCTCTGAGTAAGTTTATTTTGGTTTGTTTTTTTTTTTTACTTACATGCTGATGCAGAAATTACTTCTCTCCAAACTACAATGTAATGAGCTCCTATATGCAGGAAGGCAGCTTGCTCCCTCCTTCCCCCCACTCCACAGAAAGGATTAAGTGCTTTCCCTTCTGGAGCCCAGTATTTCTTGCTAACCTCTCCTGGCATGGGGACAGCTGGTGGTGCCTGCCTCTGAATGTTCTGAAAGGGAGAGAAGACAAATGAACACAGTTCTTAGAGTAAGTAGAAATCAAGGTGAAGAACTGTGTTTATTTTGGAATGCAGTTAAGAATTTGGGGTAAATGTGATATATTTCAGTCCCTCAGTGGACACAGGACTGAACAGTTACAATTGATCCTCATGACTACTTACATGCATCTTTTCAGTTTAATCCTTTTCTTTCATCTGTTTCTATCCCCTTCTCTCTCTGCTCTTGGCTACGTGCTAACTGAACTCTGCAGAACAGCACAGCTTTTAACTAAAAGCAAACAAAAAGAGATGTTCTTTTTTTCTCTCAACCCATGGTCTCCAAAAGCATCTGGCCACATTTCTGTTAATAAATAAGGCGTGCCAAGGACTGTTCTCTGGCTGTGAAGCCAACTGGCACAGTACATATCGCATCCCTACAGCTGAACTTTTACCACCAAAACAGTATGCCTGGGTTTTGTTAGCACATGCCATAGTAAACAAAAGAAACATTGGTTAAATCCTTGTCAAATGCATTCCTGTTATCACCTGTTGCCATACAGGCTGTATGCACACTGTCTACTGGGAATGGTCCATTGCTCTTGCCATCTTCTGACCCCTTCTTGCATGTTGCTGAGAGACTGTTAGGTGGTCTGGGCCAAACCCATACCAGGAACACACTAACAGTTCACTGGTGTGGATCATCGTCATGTCCTTGCCTCGTTTCAAATCCCCAGGAGCCAAGATCTACCACTGCAGAGTTTGTACTGAGTAGCAGCTTATGCTTTTGTGATGGAGCAAGAAGGGTGTCATTCTGTACTGTACCTGGAGAGGTAGTGGGTAGGATGGATATGTAGATATAGTTGCTGCAGAAGGACAGAACCCAGCATATGTCAGGATCTGCTGGGCAGGATTGTACAGGATCTGAGGAGGAGGTGCAGCAGCACTGAAAGCAATTTGGGACAGAGGAACCTGTTGAGCACAGAAGACAACAATATATCAGCACAGTGCAGAGGGGGCTCAAGCAGGATCTGGTCCTAACACCAGCAAGTCGGCAATTTAACAACTTTCTATTTTCCAACACAGTAATGGTACTACAGAAAAAAAAACCAACCAAACCAAGGAGCAGACAGAATGAGAGGGGGTGTATCTGAAGTGAATTTTCTGACCAGAAATACACAGCTATTTTAATCTTCTTTCCTTGGAAAAAGACTGCTGGTGCTTCCCGAGCACCAGTTACGGAAGCACTGGCAGTACTCCAGACCTGAGACACCCTGAAGAGCACAGCACACAGCTTTGACCACCTCTTCTTATTCACTCCAGCACCAAACATCCAGTCCTTCACAATTTGCTGCAGACCCTTTCCAACAGCAACTACCTGATGCTTTCCTACACAGATCTACAAAGATGTCCCTTTCCAGACCACCGGCTCTTCTTTCACAACTCCCTCTGTCTTCTGAAAGGGAGTTTGCTGCTGGCTGTCCAGTAACACCCACCATGTGTGTATCTATCTCATTTGTACTTCATAAAATCCTTCATCATACCTTGTGGCTTTATTGGCATGTCCCTTAACTGCAATGTGATACGAGGTTTGCAGGAAGAAGTAATAGTTCATATTAAACCTGCTAATACAACTTGGGGAAAGAAAAAAGAGAGCAAAAGCTGAATGAGAAAGGGGGCTTGTGTCAAACCCTAAACCCCTGTGCTATATAACCATTTGCGAAGGACAACAGAGCTCTCTGTGAAAGATTTTCATGTCCTTTTGCTTTGCAAAGCGAGACAAATCCCGTGGTTTCTTTACTCTCCTTTGTTTTTATTAGCAGATTCCTCTACATGTGAGAGCATGGAATTTTCTTTTTACTGAATAATAAAAAATATGGTGTTTGCCAGACAAATGCTAAAAGCAGCGGCCAGGATTTTATTCTTTTTTTCTTCCTTTTGGCATTTCCTTTCAGATTTTTCAGTGAGAGACATAAACCACTGTATCCTCTGGAGATAATGTGAGATATCTCTGTGATTGAGAAAGAGGTAGATTAATAGTGTTTGTACATGGAAAACATCATCTAGGTCACTGATGTACCACATGAGGTTACCTGACAATCTAGGCTTTAGTTCTCTGAAAAACTTAGCACCCCAGGAGCTGGTGCAGAGAAAGGCTGGGGTCAAAAGCAGAGAGCCTATTTTATGTGAGAAGGCAAGTCTCTCATCTTCAAGGTATCTTACTCAAAACACCTCCTTTCTACCCACCCTGCTGGGTGGATATGGTGGGGAGAAAGAAAAGGATATTATCTTTCAGAACAGAGTAGTGAGAGGTATCTAACAGGTTGGCCTTAGACCCAAAGGTTTTGGGCCAGCCACATGACCCATCCTGGCTGGGGCTGGACCCATGCCCAGAGCATTACCTTCTTCAGGCAAGTGAGGCCCTGGAGTGATCAGATCATTCTGGCTATGGACATAAACACATCTGTCACCAACTTTCTGGTTTGGGTGCTGCTGCCTTTCTCCCAGGAACCTCTCTCAGCCCTCTTACATTCTCTGCATCCACAGCAGCAGCACTCTAATTGCTAAGGATGAACACCACAGCAGTCCTAGAAGATGCCCCAAATCCACTGACTAAAGCACCTTATTATCAGGCTACCTGGTCTCAGCCTGGATTTGCCGGTATTGAAGCTGGTTAGATGCTTTTATCAAGTATTCCAGTAATGACACTATCTTAAATTAGTCACATAGAATACAAGGGTAGGTGGAGACATTTCAAACTGAAACACCACCCAAGTCAAAGAGATAAGGACCTATGAAGTGGCCAGAGAGTGCTGCCAGTACTTTGAGCATGGGGAAACCAAGCTGCGGCCAGGGGGACTGAGCTGCTGCTCACTTTGTGCTGCGCTGTGCACTGCAGAGCAACACAGGTCAGCTCACTGATCTGACACAGCCCTGCCAAAGCTTTTATTTCTGAGCTACAACCGCTTTTAATGTCAGACTGCACCTGCAGTTGCATGAGTGCTAGGACACGAACACATGGCACGTAGCTCAGTAATTAGGGGTTCATTCTGTTTTCACTTTTTAGAGCATGGATGAGGAGAGGGATAAGAGAATGATGTTTAATCTGTTTAGATTCCCTTGAGAACTCCAAGAAAGAGACTAATTGAAAAAGCCAGCAACCTCCCCCCAGGACAATCAGTAGTTCTGATTGATGCAACCCTAAACTCAGGACAGGCAGATTCCTTGGCAAGGTGTGTCTGGAAAACATCTACAAGTCATCAGATGAATACTGGGGCAGGGATGTAGATTAACTCTTAGTACCAGTAAGTGGAGTTTTCCATGCATTTCTTTACCTCTGTGTTCTGTAAGAAATAATCATGGGTTTTACCGTTTTGGATACTCCAAGTACATACTTCCATTACATTATATGGTAATCTGCTTTTTATTAAAGGTGACTGCCTAGCCAGCATCCTATACCCAAGCACACTGTGTAGATCTGAAAAGGAGAGTACTGTCATAACCACTGCAGCTCCCCAGCACCCAGCAGATCATGGAGGACAGCCACATGGAGGACACAGGGGCCACAGAGAGCTGACACCCTGGGGGCCATGGGAGCCTGAAACGTTTCTCACTGAGCCAGCACAGCCCTCTGGCAGGCAGCATGGGGAGCGTGCCAGGGTCTGCAAGGAATTTGTCACAAGGAAGAAAACCCGCAATAACCAAAACAACACTTCGTTTTTTTTCTGTCCAGGAAATGTGATGGGTTTAGAGGCAACAGTACTGTTTTGCAAACTCTCCCCTTTGTAACATGTTTTGGCTGCCAACGTTCCCCAGAGATAAACATGATGTTTTTTGTTTGATTACCAAGCCTGGCCCTGTGTTTTCTGGAAGTCAACCTTGGAGCAATGCCCTGAGGCGTTTCAGTGGGCTTTGCAGCTCTCCCTGCAAAATGCCAGTGAGCATTTCTGTGGGAAGGTGACATCCTGAAAGAAAATTGTTCTCCCACACACTTTGAAGTTGTGTTATTTTGTATTTCAGTCTCATGACCCTTTCTCTCCCTCTTCTGCTTCATGTTTCCTTGGTCCCTGTCTTCCCCCAAGCATTACTCCTTTAGTAACAAAAGTGAGCAGCAGATTAGCAAACCAGCTCTGGCACATCACTCAAAAGGACCCTGAAAAAGCACAGGCAGGAAGAAGGAGCAGCCATTGCATTTTGGATTGCTGCTCTAGTAAGACTTCCACAAGCATAGCATGGCTCCTGTGCTAAGGTAAGTGACACAAACTCGTATCTCCCTTAAGCTAGTGAGGGTATTTTTTCTGCTCCCACTGCAGAGAAGACATTAAACAGCTCATTCAGGTCACGTTTTTAGCTGGAGCCCCGACAGACTCTGTCTAGCAGATCGTGGTGGGAAGCTGTGAATCCGGTCTTGCTGCTATTTCCTTGCACAGCTTTATGCCACCCAGTCAGAGGACCCAGACCTTGACCCAGGCTTTGCCTCCTAGCAAGGGAACGTGCCAGGCCCCAGTTCTCCCAGGAATGTCTCCTTGGCTTGGTATCCCTGGCACAAGCAGTGCAGTGATGGCCTCTGCACAGCCTAGAGGTGTGCCTGGGCTGGAACTCACCTGCTACAAAGCATCAGCCCAAATCCCACATAAACCTCTGTTTGTGCAAAACAGATTAGGCTCAGGCTGGCTCTCTGCACCCTTTCCCATCTCAGGGGAGCACTAGCAACTCCCTCACGTGCCCTTGGTGGAGATACTTGCACCCATCTGCTAGGCAGGGGAAAATACCTAGCAGCACTGGAAAAGTGCAGTGCTGTACCAAGGATATAGTGTAAGTGATGCCTGCCTTCCTCTCCTCATGTAGCTGCTCTTCCCCACGTTTCTCACTGTGGTTGCTTCTGTTCCCCTTCTGACATTGCTCCTCTCACAGGGAGGGGATGAATTAAGCTGGGAATGCTGCTTCCACTCCTGTCCATCAGGCAGCCACTACTGTGGTTCACTGGTGTACTCCAGTTTGTTATAAACTCCTTGAAAGAGTGCCCTCACATAAAGGACAGATCAGCTGCACATTTCTTACATGTGAAGGCTCAGTGTGCTTGTTTGCCTTAAGCTAGAGAGCAAACATTTTGTGACTCTTAAAAAAGGTGAATTTCAAGTAATTCATATGGCCCTGGTCCATCACATAGTTTGAAGGACCCAACACAAGTGGTAGATAGCATGGACATGCTTGCTAAGGGTCGCTGGGCAGTCAGAGCATGGCCTTGGCTCACTGGCTGTCAGCTCTGAGCAGCTCCTTCCTTCGAATTTGTCCCCTCTGGTGTACATCTCACCCATCTCTCTTGCTTTATCTTCCCTGCTCCATCCCTCTCTTCTTTCCTTTCACCTGTCTTTACGTTCCCTCTGGAATAGCCACCAGAAATACTATGAATCTAAGATGACCTGTGCTACTATCACACCTCCCTTTGGCTCCTGCATTTCGCCTTCATCCCCACGCCTCTGCCCACTTAGTTTGGAAGCTCATTGGGCAGGGACCATCTACTCTTCTGAGCGCCTAGGAAAATCATGAGCTACTTGATTGGTCTTCAGGCACTGCTTTAGCAAACATGACTATTGACAGTGATAATAATCCTGAGAACAGCTATTTTCAGCTTTCTAACATATCAGAAAATCTAGGCAGATGAGTCAGTGTATTACAGAATCCCTCCTAGCACACAACCTCTTATGAATGCAGTGGTGCACATCAGCACAAGGTGGTGGTGTGCCACAGGGAGCAGTTAGAGCATGGCATTCTTCAGGTTAATGTGACCTAAATATGACTGTTTAAATAAGAACTTGAGTGGTACTTCAAAGTTAATCCCCATTCTTGGGGAAAAGAACTACATGAGGTTAAATAGTCACACCTAGGACTTGAGTTTTACAGGTCAGCTACAGACTAGCATCCTTAAATTCTGTTCTGGCCCACACATTCAGTTCTGAATTAGATGGAAAAATAGATGCCGCTAAGTGAATCGCCAGCATCTGTTAACACAGACATCTGTTTTTTCTCTTCCATTCATATATTTGACCAGGCTTGACCTACTTAGCTGTGAGCAGCTGGCAACAGCTTAGCCTAAAGATATGAGTCCAGAATCCCAGATCACACAGGAAACATGTTTAACGTGCCTCCTTTGTGCAGTTACACTTCCTTGGTTTTAACCCATTTGATAACATCAGCAAGCACATAAGTCCCCACGTAAGGCAAAAGACTGTGGGCCTTACCATGTCTTTAAATGCCCCAAGAATGGCTGCTGTAATAATCCCCAGGAACAACCCGATGATGTTGAGGACTGTGGAGGACCATAGCAGCCTGTACAGGTGAACCACGTCCTGGCAGCTATTCACGCCGAGAAATTCATAGTAGCTGGAGGACTGCTCTGAACTGAAAGGGAATGCAGACTGCGTCACTGCGGTGGAATGGTTTTGCACATAATGCAGAGCACCAGAAGATCTGAATCTCTCCTGCTGACTTTCCTCTTTGGTGAAGTACTTCATCCATGCTCCCACCAAACACTGCTCAGATGAATTGGAGAAAGCTCTACTGTAGACAAAAATTGGCTCTACAAATTCCAGCATTAAATGAGCCCAACTAATACCAACCCTAGCTTGGCTGATCACTGTGATGTACCAGCAGGGATTCTTTTTTTCGCTCAGGGTCTCTGAACACAAGCACATTCCTGGCATATGGATGCTCCCCTTGCCATTTAGCTACCAGATATAGCATGCTTAGCATTGCTTTTTTCCCCCCCAGCTCACCTGGAAATTTGCTGGCAAGTTGCTTAAGCATAAATTCAACCACAGGAAGGGAGATTTTGCCAGCTGGCTACATTTGCTTATGGTGTCTGTGGTTCCAAATTAACAGATACAACACAGTACAGTATAAAGATGTGCCCTTACACTATGGATTGTACTATCCAGAAATCTTTCTTTGCTCATATTTCTACACTGCACTGATTATTGTAAATCAGGAATGTTGTGAAGTTAATCCTCATTGTCTTGCCGAAAGTCAGAAGTATCCTACTGCAAAATTTGAAACCACAGTTTCCTGCAGCTCTTTCCAGTACTTGCCTTAATGCTATCCCACTAATGGGCTCCTGGAGCTATTTGAGTTGGAAAGATCTTTAAATGCCAAGTCTGTTTTTGCACTGTTAGGAACTTGCCATGAGATTATGGAGAAAACAGAAGTGAGCAGAGTTTGTGCTCATTCTTCTGTTCCTCCATCCACAGCACATGGGGCAGCAGTGGAGATGGTGGTTAGGGAAAGCTCTGTTGAGGAAGGTAGCACATGGAGAAACCTGCAATAACATTTCTGGGAAGAACCAAGCCAAGCACAGTAGTTCCTGGAAATGTCCAATCATTTGTTTTGGGGCATGGTTCTGGCATAGTGAATCCGCTACTGTTGAATTCACTTGGGCCCTATGGTGAGCCGACCTTAACTAAATAGGCTCATCATGAAGCCTGTACCTACAGCTGCCATGAGTTTGAGGAAATCTGACTTGTGATCCTGCCTGTGTCTCGGTCTGTTGCATGACTGACACTAAGTCACTTTGTGTGACTGTGTCTCCTACTTCTCTCTAGCTGCCGTATGCACTGGAATTGCCAGGGCTGTGGAGCAGTATGACTGCTTCTTTAGTCTGGATTTGCCTATGCCAGTGCCATATAATCTTGCTGCCCACTGTGGATTGCTGACAATGGCATGTTTAATTATATCATCGAATACTCTTACAGCAGTGATTAATCTCGGGTGTTTCAAACAAACCCAATGTGCCAGAAAAATGGCAGTGAGAACCTCCATCTGGAGGGGGAGTATTCGTGATCTCTCCTTCTTACATTATTTTTTAAGCTACAGAGTTTCAGTCATTTCATTTGATAACTCTGAATGCTTTCACCCCTTTAAGACCCTGTTCTTTTCTGTATTGGGTTGAGCTTTTCAATTCAGTGTTAACATTCAGCAGTTAGTTAGTTGTGTACCATGGAAGAAAGCATTCTCAGTATAAACAAACTGCATTGCAGCTATGATATTCCACCATTTGTCTATCATAGAAAAGGAACCAGTTGTGCATACTCTACCTTTCCCATTTCATTTGTTTTGTATACCTTCATCATGTCCAGATTTAACACTTCTTACACAAGCAAAAGACTCTAACATTCATAGTGGTTTTTAACCCATTCCATAGTCCTGCACTTACTATGTCACTTACATGTGTATGAGACATACGCATGCATAGATGACTTCCCTCTTGTACCAAATTTCATTGTGCTTCTCTAGTTGAGGCACGTCTTGTGTGGAAGCCTCACTGTGCCAGCCTCATTCCCCTACATTTAAAACATTCATGTCTGGCAGTATGCCAGCCAAGGCTTACAGAGGACTGGGGTTATTCAGGGCTGCTAGCATGTGAAAAGGAGGCAAAACCAAAATAAAACAGGATATGTAGGAAGGAAGGAAGACAAGAAATACGGAGAGGGAAAGAAAGAAGAGTGGCTGTGGGTGAACTGTAGTGGATTGCGGAGGTTGCATGAGGGTGCATTCTAAGATGATACTGAGGTGCACAGAGGATGAGTCAGGCAGATGTGCTCCGGGAAATTCTCTTCAGTTTCATGGCAAGACATGATGCTGCCTGCAGTTGAAATGTCTATGTTCCACGTGGCCAGTCAGTTGTGCGAGTTCATTTCATCTGTCTTCCACATCATAAACCTTTGCACTTTGCTGTGATGTAGTTTTTCCTTACCACCATTTTTACTCCTGTTAAATCACTGCTTGGCAACCTTGTGCTAACCTTCAGCTGATCTTATAAGCATGTCCAGACATTGCCTTTCTTATCTTCTGACAGATCATGCTTTGGCAATGACAAAGTCAAATGAATAGCTTCAAAAGACACAGGACCCTCTGTATCTAACCTATGATAATTTAGCAAAATCCCATGCCTTCATACGCTGTTGCTAACAAAAGAGCTCTGCATATACCTACAACATGATCTCTGCTTATGGACACCTATATTCCTATTAATTTTGTTTCCCTCAGTTTGATTGGGAAAAAATAAAGGAAAAGTAAATCTTGAGAGGGCTATGACTAAAATGGTCAACTTTGATCACACAGCAAATAGCTTATGGACATATTTAAAGAAAAAGAAACTGAAATAATGCCAACACTAATACTCAACCCCTGACCCCTTCTCTGCTGGCATCTGGACTTCAGTCTCAGAGGAACTGGATTGCTCAGCATACAAGCCCCTTGCGTTGCTTCTCCAGCCCTAAGGGCACCCACCACTATCATTTAAGAGGGACAACAATCAAGGATTTCTCAGGGGCCATTGACTGCACACAGATACTTACTTCTCACAGTTGTACAGGTCACAGCAGTAGCATGTATTACTCTTTACTTTCAGCTGGCACCTGCTGTTTAAGGTATAACATGTCACCTGCCAAAAAAGAAGAGACTGACTTTTATGCTCGGTGTTACAGTATTATGTGAATCAAGCTACCGACCACAAAGCAGCAGCTACTGCAGTATCAGGAGTGCAGCAGCTCCAGTGCAGGAAGATCCTTAGATTCCAAAATCCATGACTGCAGGGCAGAAGGACCTCCCTGAGCACCCAGGAGTTTCATTTGGGACATCAGCCCAGGCATTTGCACTATGGAGCCCAGAGGGTCCAGAAACAATATGCAGCCAGGGCTGCCAGAGTTTGCAAAGCCCTTTGCTGCACTGCCTGGTGCTGTTTTGCTGAGCCCCAGAGCTGTGAGATACAGATCCCTATGGCTGTGACACAGGGACCATGGGTCTTGAGAGGTACACCACAGCAAGCCACTGAAGTGGGCAAGAGTGCCACTCCATCATAGTGGGGAAATGGGCAAAGAAATGGCCCATTTATCTGAACAGCTCCCAGTAGATCAGAGCTCTGTCTGTCCTTTCAGCAACGCCCTCCTGAAGACGAAAACAATTAGGAACAACAAGAAGAACAGTCTCCAAATCTACAAACAAAACTGCTCAGAAAAGATCCAAGCACCTCAGCAAATAAGTACCATTTACTGTAGGCTCTTGAATAGAAAACCGAAAAGGTTAACTTGTGTGAGCAGCAATTGCAGGGTTGGACAGATGTTAGAACAAAAAACGTAGGCACAGATAACCCACTCTCCATCCAGACAATAAATCATTTTAATGACTCCTTAAGTGTGGTAAGCATTAATCAATTTTGTTTTGCACCACAGACCAGTTGAAATACTTTATATGTAAGCCTTTTTTCCATGAGATTTTTAGTACATTGATTTTGAAGTCCTGGAAAACTGCCAGGTTTTAAAAGCTAGCAGGTCAGAAAAGACATTCTTTCTATAGTTTTTATTTTGATAGAAAAAATGGACTGTAACCACTGAGAAGTATTTTGTTCACAAAATGCAAATAAAGTGTATTATTGAATGGAAAATTCTCTGTAATGAAAAAGTAAAAGGAGCATGTTTACGAGTACATGCCTGCTTTTGAAAAGCTTCTCTCAGACAGTTCTGCTTAGCCATGAACATGTTACTCTGTGGGACTGTCTCCACAGGAGATGTTAAACCAGATGTTTCCCAGCTCCCGAGTTCTGGATCTGTGTATCCTTTTTAGTGTGAAAACTGCTGCTGTTGATGAGTCTGCACTCCTCATATGTTTGTTCCCAACAAAAGAAAAGCCTTAAATGCACACAACTCAGCACCACAGAAGTTCATCTTGTAGCTGGTCTTAGACTTGCCACACTTGTCCTTAGCAGAATTTGCTTGAGCAGTGCAAGTTGGGTGACAAAGCTAAAGTCAAAATGATGCCTTGGGATTGCTTTGCTGCCCACGGCAAGGCTGTACCTGTGGTCAGCGTCTCATACAAATGAGCTCATCTAACCTAAAATGGAAGTTAGGTTATAAAAGGATGGTGTCAGGCTAGGTTGCAATCTGGAAGTGAAGCTTACGGCTTGGTACAGTCCCATTGCACTTGTCACAAGAATATCTCACCCTGAGATAGGACCTTGTTTCATCAGCCTTGTTCTGTCGTGTCTGAACTTCCTGGGATTTCACATAAGGGCTTGTCAGCCTGAAGTCACATTCAGCTGCAGCCATCCTCAGCCTGAGCTGCAATTTACTGCAGAAGAGGAGCGTGTTACCGGGTAGGCTTACTCAGAAGTGACTGAAGTGTCACACCTGGCTCCTTCTCAAAGCAGTTTGAAAACTAATCCTGAAGCAGAGTGTACCGATGCAACAGCTATTTTGTTGGAATGCCCTGGTGGTTCTGGATTGAGGGGAACTTAAGACTTTGGTTTTGACCTCCTGTATGTAGTCAAATTGGCCTAGGACCTGCATAATTAAAATACCCTTTTCCCGTTACATATGCATGATTGACACTAGAGGGCTTCATAAGATGGAGTGGGCTGCTGAAAAGGTTGTTTATTCTGATGCATGTCTTTGAGGACCACTTCTAATAGGAAATCAAAGTAGTTTTCCCTCTCCAAGCATTAATAAGGCCAATTTGCCCCTTTATGCTATAGAAGGCTACAAGTACAAAAGACGGAGAATGGCAAGACCTTATACATGGTTTTTGCTTGCTTCTGGATTACAAGACATATTCTTTTACTGGCCAAGGAAGTTACTGTAGTTGTCTATTTTTATCACTGCATTTTTAAAACATGCAAAGAACAAGACACTCCTTTTTAGGAGAACAGTGTGTAAACCAAAATAAACAAACTACTGTGTGGCATGCGCAAGGGTGATGGAAACAGGCCATTTGTGGGTATTGTGCATGTCAAGACCTACTATTTCATTTGAGTGACCAGGCACTTAGCTTTTTCATATTCTGGCTGTTCGTGCCTGTCTATCCTCTCAGCACCAACTGAAGAGATGTTCTTACCTCATGGTGATTGCTAGAAAATCAAAATCTTTCTGCACTAAGGAAACTGAAGAAGCAAAATAGGCAAACTACATGAACTGGAGGCCACTCACAGGCTAGAGATGGCAACCAAAAGGAAACCTGCACTCAGTAAACAATCTGCCTTCCTATTTAGGAGTTTGCCTGGCATGCACAGCATGTCCCCTGCTCACTAGCTGGCTAACTTTGGAAAAGCAAAATCCAAGTTCAAATGCCATAGATCATTAATTCTGAATTAGCACATGCTGACTCTAGAACCCCGAGGCTGTGGTCACCTGCAGGGAGCCGTTTGTGTTCAGTGTGATGCCAGCTACACGATTATTACAGGAATCCAAAGCATTTCTCAGGCCATGTCTGTATCTGAGTGTGCAGGCATGTTTTAGAAGAGATTACAGGAAAGGGTGTTGTCACACATCATAAGTTTGTCTGGATAGGTAAGGAGGTCAATGAAATATTTTTGTCATGCACTTGCTGGAATCAACAATGGGGTGCCATAGCAGCAAGATTTAAGGAGTATTAGCTTCTTAACCTGGTAATATACTTTGCTAAGCTGTCTAGAATTATTAGCAGTAACATTCCCCGCACACTTTTCCTTAGCCATGGGAGGAATGGTGATAAAGGACATCTGGCTTCTTGTAAGTTATACCACTGTTTAGCTGTTCTCAGTCCTGCCCTGCTTGATATTCTTTTCACTTCCACCAATTTACCACAATAATAAAATGAAATATAGGAAAAGAAACTAAATCTGGACGTCTCCGGAGGCTAGCCATTTGGTTATGGGCGCTTTTCTGACCATGTTAATGTCATTGAGATAATAAAAAAGCTGCATTCAAACCGCCAACATTCTTGGCCTGTGCTGGATAAATACAGAAAAGATTTGAAGTCTTCTGGACAGTGCAAATGAATTAATTTAGATATTTCCTATTCTACTTGAAGTCTACAAAAACATCCTTAGAGAAAGATGCCAATGTGACAGATACATTCCAGACAGCTATCATACAGTATAGATGGACTAGGAATCATTCCAGTCCCAGAGTAATGTACTGGATAGAAACACTGACGATGACTCAAAACCTCACTGATTGTAATGATCTGCAGTCATCAGAGGCTTGGACAAGTGGGGAGTCACTTGTGAGAGAAAAAACAGTAGGGTTTCTATCAACCCTTGACCTAAATGCACAGACATACTCTCAAACACCTGCCCCCCTCCTCCCCTCGAAGTACAGCAGAAATGAACATGTGATGAGTTTGTTTACCTCTGTCTGGTAGGCATCATACAGGAATCCTATTCCACTTGAATAAAACTGGCACCTTTTGTTATACAAAGGTCTGGGTTCCTGTAAAGAGAAAAATAGCCAAAAACATACTCAGTCTGCAGGAAGCGTGAAGGCACCATGTCCCATGTCTCCATGCCAGATGCTTACAGCTCTGTGGAGCTGACGCCAATGTACACATTTGGGTAAGCGGCTCACACACCTCCATGCTGGCTTTCTTTCCAGAATGGCTCTCCTCAGGGTTTCCTTCTTCACTCTGCATGTGAGTACCATTTATTTTTCTCTGTATTAGTCACCTCTTTTAAGAAGACATCACCCCTGGCATTTAATCACTTCCTTGCTTGATGTTACATAGTACTGCTCTATGAGAATGGTCCAGTTGCTCTTTTTCCTGGTACGGTTTCTTACCTAGTGCAAAAAATTACTTTGTCTTACTTGGGGACTTCATTTTTAAAGGATTTCAACAATGCCCATAGTGAAAACAAAGTAAAATAGCCAATTCTTTAAAGCATTCCGCTCACTACACACAATGCAACTCCCCAAAGTAAAACAAAGGATAATGAAGAAATGAAGGCATAAAAGGAAAGTTTTTGCCTTATTTTCCATTTACGCTTATTGCAAAAGATGCATTCACTGCTCATATTTCATATTTTGCATGTAACAGTTCTCACAAGCTGATATAAAAGAAGAACACAATGAAATCTCGTTGGCCAGATGGAAGATGTGTGTTTCTGACCTTGGCGAATGGCCACTTTGAAGGCTAGAGTGTGCATATCTTAGTCTATTTCAGAACTAGACCATATTTGCCTAGGGAGGATTTGACAACTGAAGAGTCCTCTGTGATCAGATGTCTACCCCAAAGCAAGGTGTGGGAATCACTTATGTTGGCAAAAAAAGAGGTTTTTTTCAACTTTCCATCACTTACCTAGTCCTGATTTGTGCTTTCAAAAGCACTCAAGTGCTCCTCTATATATTGTCAGTCAGACCACTTCCAAGAGAGAAGATGGAAACCCACTATTTGCCATCCCCTCTTTCCATGCTAACTTACTTACAAGCAAATGATTATTTAAGTTGTTAGGAGAAATCTGTGCTGATTAACTTTCACTGCATTTTAAAGCTTTATGACCCATCCAGGAATAACCCAGAAACTGCAGAAAGATCTGCAATGCTTAAGATCACTTCCGAGTATTCTATGCTTGTTGGATAATGAAGTGCGAACTGTATAAATCTGCTGACCCAAAATACATAATCAGTTAAAATGCAGAGCTAGGCAGGAAAGCAGATAAGTCAATGAACAAAGCTCATCCATCAGTTTGTTTGCCTTTCTGATTACTCTGGCAAACCCAAGCAAGTCTGGACACCAACTCCCAAGGGTCAGGGAAAGGTGAGCACCCTGCTTCCAAAAATACTTATTTATATTACACAAGTGTAAAAAGGTTTCAGTAACTTTTTCTCTAGAGGAAAAGTAACTACTACACAAACAGCATGCCATGTCCTGAACTAAGATGACATTCTTCCATAGGCCTGGGAAGGCATTAGCCTTTAGCCACAATTTCCAGGGACAGATCTGGTTGGGAGGACTAACAGGATTGTAGTTCCTCTGCTGGCCCAGTGAGCATGGTATCAGTTAAAGGTTGTGCTGCCCTTCTTTCACAGAGCATCATATTCCAACCCTGATTTCATCTGTTGTATGGGGATGAAATGAGAGAGAAGGGGAGTAAGGAGTAGAAATGGTTTTTTCTGCCATGAGTAGCAAATCCATCAAAAACTTCTGTCCATTTTATTCACAACAATAAGTTTCAGTTTGATACTAGAGGATCCTGGAAGGGGGCAATGCTCAAGTGCATGGAGCTCAAGTGGTGTTCTCAATCCTTCTGTTGAGGAGAAATGGCTTGAGGAGGCCTGGGCAGATCTAGCAGATTAAGAACTGGCTATGCATCTCGTGTCAGCAACAAGAATTTGGCTTTTATGGCAGTATCTTTTGTGAACAAGGACTTGGAAGACATGGGATCCACCTGACTAATCAGGGGAAAAGCATTTTTGCCTTCAGTCTACTCAGTTGGTGACAGGAGCTTTAACTTAGGAACAAGGGGGGAGATGAGGAACAATATTAAAGTGAGGAAGTAGCTGACTAATGAGACAAGTGAAGTGAACATGGTGATGTGGACAAAAGAAATCTCATAATCAACGTAACAGGCTACATAGAGCCCACTTCAAGTGTATGCACATGAATAAGGAAGCACCAATAAGACAGCACAAGGAAAGCTCTCATCCCTTTTCTAGGATGCTTAGCACTCTTTGAAGCATCTGTACACTAGCACACACAGCATGGAGAAGAGTCAGTTTGAGGTTCTGTGGACTGGGGTGTTCTGTGGACTGGGGTGCTCTGTGGACTCACAGTACTGGAGTGCCTCTATGGATGGACACAGGCTTTTTAGGAAGGACATGTAGTATGGCAGAAAGAAGAGTCGTTCTTTATGAAAGAAAGCACCGAGAATATATGGGGATCTGCTTATGGACAGATGAGAAGCCAGCTGAGAGCTTCTCTGTCAGTATTAGAGGCCAGACCAAGATGGGCAACATTGTGGTGGGTATCTGCTATAGACTGCCCTATTGTAAAAAAGTAGCTGAGGCTCTGCTCATGCAGAGTACTTTAACTACTAAAAAGTAGTAAAGGACTTTACCCCAGTATCCCGGTGAAGCACAATGTCCCTGCTGGAGGGACAACACAGCAAGACACAAGTAATCCAGAAGGGTTCTGCAGTGCATTAACAACCACTTCCTAACATGGGTAATCAAGGAGCTGATAAGAAGAGGAGCTCCGCTGGACCTCTATGTACAATCAGGAAGGATTGCTCAGGGATGTTTCAAGGGCAGCCTTGACCCTGAAAATGATGTGGTGGAGTTCAGAATCTGGAGAGGAGGGAGCAGGGAAGAAAGCAGAATTCCAACCCTGGACTTCAGGAAAGGAGACTTTGGCCTATTCAGTGATCTGCTGGGAAGAATCCCATGGGATAGTCCTGAAAAGCAGCAAGGTCCATAAGAACTGGTTAATATTCAAGGATTACCTCCTCCAAACTTGAGAACAGTTCACCCCAGCTAACAGGAAATTGAGCAAATGTAGATGCATTTGCAAATGCAGCAAATGCGTCGCCTGCACCGATGAACAATTTGTTTCTGATATAACCCAGACATAAAAAGGAAGTCTACAAGAAGTGCAACCAGGGGCAAGTCACCAGGGAAGAAAATAGAGAGCTTATATGAGCATGCAGGGATGGGGTTAGGAAAGAAAAAGCCCACATGGAATTCAATTCAGAAATGGCTGCAGAGGGCAAAAAGGGCCTTCCTGGGTGTACTAGCAGCAAAAGAGAGATTAGAAAAAATATGGGCACACTACTGAATAACGCAGGCAATCTGCTACCAAAAGACATGGTAAAGGCCAAGGTACTCAATGCCTTCTTTGCCTTGGTCTTCAGTGGAGACCAGTGGGAAAATCTGGGGCAAGATAGACTTACCTTTGCTGGAGAAGGATTGGGTTAGGGAACATTTGAACAGACTGGAGATAGAGAAGGCTCTGGGACCTGATGGGATGCATCCACGAGTAGTGAGGAGGCTCAATGATGTTAATGCAAAGCTGTTCTCAGTTATCTTTGAAAAGTCATGGTGTTCAGGGAAGATTTCTGAGGACTTGAAGAAAATAAAAGTCACTTCCATCTTCAAGAATGGCAAGAAAAAGAATCCAGGGGACTACACACTGGTGGTAAGGTGACGGAGCAAAAAATCTTGGAAACCACTTCCAAACATCTCAAGGATACAAAGTGACTGGGTGTAGTCAACATGGATTTACAAAGTGGGAGTCATGTTAGCCTTCTACAAGGCTGTGACTGGCTTGGAGGATGAGTGGAGCTTCTCACTCACCTGTTTCCGGATGTTGTTTATCTTCACTTTGGAAAGGCCTTTGGCAGTTTCTCATAATATTCTTTCAGACAAGCTGATGTACAGGCTAAATAAATGGACAGTGAGGTGGACTGAAATGCGAAGATCTTCCCCTCAGAGACTGCTTGTTAAAGTCAGCGAGAGAGCTGTCTAATCTGCCTCCATCAAGTACAGGAAGACCCTTACTTTGGCCCTGATCTCTTGGCTCACACAGCTTTCCTACCCTTTACATCTCCTTCTTCTTAAAAAAGAAATTAGTCCTTTTATTGGTTTGGTACTTTCCTTCATAACCCTAATCTTGAAAAGCAAGCCTGCTGCACTAGTAAAGCCAAATTTCTGTGTTCAGTCTGTTCTTCTAAATTTGTCTTTATGTGCAGTCTAGTGACCCCAAAGCAAATAAATGAATGATGATTGAGTGTGTAAAAATAACAAAAATTACATAACATCAACTTTATCCAGACACCCACAGAAATCAAAACCTAAAGCATGCAGCTTTTACGTAGAAGTACACTGGGGATGCCGAAAGGTTGCCTTCATAAAAGCTTCCATTTGAATTAGGTTTTAATGCCACAGAGGTGCTGTGGTCTGTCTGTCTACTAAGGTGTTTATATGAATAAAGTACCAGAGAGCCACTAAAAAGTGTTTTAAAATTATCCAACAGAATGTCATACTGCATTAATGCCCATTGGATTTTATAGGCCTCTCTAATAACAAAAGGCAAATTAGACATACTTCAAAGCTATAAAAGTATTCCTGACAGACTGTTCATAAAATACTTTATATTTTCACACTGCTCACTGCAGACTGTGTATGAATATAGGATACCTACCTTTCCTTGATTCTACTTGGTTCTACAGGTTATAGCAATACTGGTAGAGACAGAGCTAATTTTAACGCCATATATGTAAGTATGTATATTTCTTCTATTAAGAGTTGCTTTAAAAAGGTGCATTCCTCTTCTCTGCTTCTTTAAGAAACTCTCTTTAACTGGAAGCAGCCCAGTGGTAAAGATCTGTTGATTAGAGCTCTGCTGGTATATGAAGAGGACAAACACCAGTAGGCTGGTAAAAAGAGGAAGAATTCTGTATAAAAAAGTAGTTGCATGCTTGTGTTTTTTTAATGATGTA